TATATACATATATATATAGAAAATAATATATGAAAATGTAGCTAATAACATTTTCTTTTAAATGATATACTTTAAATATGTTTATTTGTCTTCTGCAGCTTGCAAAAAGCCAAAAAGACGCAGAGGCTGCACCTTTTGTCTTTGCTTTAGTCGATTGGCTGAGAGAAAAGGTTGGAAATTGTCGCGTAGAGCCCCCAGGCCTATTTAGAGGGAGAGGAGAGCATCCTAAGCAAGGAATGCTGAAGGTTTGTTTAATTAATTAATTTATTTATTTATTTATTTATTTAGTTAGTTAGTTAATTAGTTAATTATTTGCTTATTTATTGTGTTTGTTTTATTTGTTTATTCGTTTTATTCGTTTATCTATGTAGTTTTTTGTGCATCCTAAGCAAGGGATGCTGAAGGTTTGTTTAATTAATTAATTAATTAGTTTAGTTGATTAATTAATTAATTTAATTAATTAATTAATTACTTTAATCAATTAATTATTTGTTTGTTTATTGTGTTTGTTTTATTTGTTTTATTTATTTATTTGATTGGGAAGAGAAGAACACATTAAATGAGTAATGTTGAAGGTTTATTTATTTATTTATTTAACTAATTAATTAATCAATTAATTTAATTTAATTTAATTTAACTAATTAACTAATTAATTATTTCTTTAGTTTGCTTAATTTGTTTGTTTATTTTATTTATTTGTTTGGGAAGAGGGCAATGAGTGTTAAAGGTTTGTTTATATTTACTTATTATATTTAATTGTTTATGCTGTCTATGCATTTATTTATTTATTTATTTATTTATTATTTATTATTTATTTATATTCAGCGACGTATATTTTCTGAAGACATTTATATATACACATATATATACATGTATATATATATATATGTATACATGTATATATATACATCTAAATTTTTCTTTTTTATTGCTGTTTCTATTTATGAATAAATAAATAAATAAATTAATTAATTAATTAATTAATTTGTTTATTTTCAGCGTCGCATATTTTCTGAAGACGTGATATTGAATCTGAGCGAAGACAGCCCAGTGCCGATTGCAAGCGGTTTGAAGGGGCATTGCTGGAGAGACATAGCGCATGATTGCAGAGTAACTTGGTTAGCATTTTATCGGGACTCAATCAATGATCAGGTGAATAATAATATTATTTTATTTGTTTAATGTTGTCCTGCTTGTTCTGCTTCTTTTGCTGTATCTTTTGATGTTTTTTCTTCATATATATATATACCCTAAAGGTGTAGAGTCCTTGGATTGCATTTTAAATATTATATTAATACATTAATTATATTTATAATTATATTTATTATTATATTTATAATTATATTTATGGTTGTTATTATTTTATTTGTTTATTTCTGTTCGTTTTAATCTCCTTCGTTTGCTGATCTTTTGATACAACATTGTAATAATAATTTGAATCAATATTTGAGTGATTAATAATAATAATAATATTTTATTATTATTATAATTATTATTTTATTGTTTGTTTATTTATTGTTTATTATTGTTGTTTGTTTTAGGGCTGTTTGTTAGTTGAATATTCTTTTCAATACAATATTAATAACAGTATTATTATGATTATATTAATTATGATTAATTATTATTATATAAAATATACTTGATAATAATAATTTCTTATTATAATAGTTGTATATGAATAGAATTAATGTTGTAGATTGGGGTGTATGCGGAGGTTGATTAATTTGTTTTTGTTTGTTTTTGCAATGCAGGTGAAGTATATGTACTTAGCAGCTCAATCAGGATTTAAAGGACAACAAGACTTCCTAAAATATGAGAAGGCAAGAAGATTAAAACAATTTGTCGTTAAAATTAGAGAAGACTATAGCAAAAAGATGAAGAGCAACGACTCTATTGAAAGACAGCTGGGGACGGCTACATATTTAATTGACTTCTTAGCTCTTCGTGTCGGAGGCGAGAAAGATACAGGTTTGTTTCTTTAATATTATCATTTATATTAACCCTAAACCCTAAACCCTTAACCCTAATTGCTTCTACCTATAATACGCACGAGTTGCCGCTTTGGCGGCAAAATTTTATGATCAACATACACCCCAAACCCTAAACCCTAAACCCTAATTAGTTACTATCTATACACACGATATTCATCAAGTCTTACACTCATTATACCCATATCCAGGGTTTAGGGTTTAGGGTTTATGAAGCAGATGATGAGGAGGCGGACAACACCCTTGATACACACTTTAGGGTTTATTATTTAGGGTTTAGGGTTTAGGGTTTAGGGTTTAGGGTTTGTGAATCAGATGAGGAGGCGGACACCGTTGGTTGTTGCAGTCTGCGAGTCGAACATATTGCATTTGACGAAGATAAAAAAGAAATAACGCTGGACTTCTTAGGCAAAGATTCAATTAGATATTATAATACTGTCAAGGTACTTATTTATTGTTTAGTTGTTTAGTTGTTGTTTATTTTGTTTGTTTGTTTTGTTGGTTTGTTTGTTTATTATTTACGTTTTTATCTATCTATTATTTGTTTACTTATTTATTTAATTTTTTGTTTATTTAATATTGTAATGCTGAAGTATTTGTTTATTTGTTTTTATTTATTTATTTATTTTGTTTTTATTTATCTATTTATTTGTTCGTCTGTGTTTTTATCTATTTATCTGTTTGCTTGTTTTATTTATTTATTTATTATATGTATTTGCTTTTTTATTTATTTATTTGTTTGCTTGTTTGTTTGTTTGTTTGTGTTTTTATTTATTTATTTATTTATTTATTTATTTGTTTATTTGTTTGTTATTTGATAATATTATACCGTTAGACTATTTTTTAATTGCTGTATTTATTTATTTAATCTGTTAACTTTATATAATTGTTTATTTATTTAATTTATTATATTAATTAATTAATTAATTAATTAATTTATATAATTTATTTTGTTTTTATTTTATTATTTCTTCAGATAGACCCGCAGGCATTTAAAAATTTACAAGCATTTTGTAGAGGCAAGAAAGCAGATGATGATGTCTTTGAATCTATCAATGTTAGTTTTAATTAATTTAATTAATTTAATTAGTTTAATTAATTAATTAATTAATTTATTTGTTTGTTTGTTTGGTTTATTTGTTTGTCTGTTTTATTTGTTTATTTGTTTTATTTGTTTTAGTAAAGAAAGCAGATGATGATTGTCTTTGAATCCATCAATGTTTAATTAATTTAATTAATTTAATTAATTGATTAATTTATTTATTTATTTGTTTAGTTTGTTTGTTTATTTGTTTTATTTGTTTATTTGTTTTATTTGTTTATGTATTTTTGTTTGCTTTGTTTATTTCTTTTTAAACACATCAATATCTTTATTTATTTATATATTTATTTATTTATTTATCTGTTCATCTATTTATTTATTTATTTATTTATTCATTTACTTGTTTGTTTTTGTTGGTAGCATATTGTGTGTATATGTAAACCCTAAACCCTAAACCCTAAACCCTAATTTATGGTTTGTTTTCAGAGCACTTCTTTAAATAATCATTTAAAACAGTTAATGCCGGGGTTAAGTGCGAAGATGTTTAGGACATACAACGCCAGCATAACCCTTCAGCAAGAGCTCGATAAGCTACAGTAAACCCTAAACCCTAAAACCCTAAACCCTAAAACCCTAAACCCTAATGGGAGTATCGTAAACCCTACTAAACTCTTATCCTGAACCCTAAAGACTAAAGTTTATTCTGCTGCTTTTAAACACCGAGTATACGCTAGGGTTTACAGTTTTATGGTTTATGGTTTAGGGTTTAGGGTTTAGGGTTTAAGGTATTAGGGTTTAGGGTTTAGGGTTTAGGGTTTAGGGTTTAGGGTTTAGGGTTTAGGGTTTAGGGTTCTTTAGGGTTATTAGGGTTTAGGGTTTAGGGTTTAGGGTTTAGGGTTTAGGGTTTAGGGTTTAGGGTTTAGGGTTTGAGGGTTTAGGGTTTAGGGTTTAGGGTTTAGGGTTTAGGGTTTAGGGTTTAGGGTTTAGGGTTTGTGGTTTAGGCCGACTTTGGCGAAATTCAAGGAGGAAGTAGAGAGAGAGAGGATGAAGAAAGAGGCGAAGACAAAAACAAAAAAAGCAAAGACAGAGCCTCAAGCTGCTGCAGCAGCAGCAACAACAACAGCAACAGCAACAGCAACAGCAGCAGCAGCAGCAGCAGAAGACAGTGATGAAGCCCCCCTTAAAGAGCAAAAAGTAAAGAGAGAAACAGATAAAGACAAAGAAGAACAAAAAGAAACTCAAGAAGTTCTCAATGTAGATATCTCTGATGTTAACCAACTCGTGCAATTCTATAACGATGCTAACAGGTAAACCCTAAACCCTTATAAACCCTTATAAACCCTAAACCCTTATAAACCCTAAACCCTAAAACGCTTCTTATAATGAAGCCCTTACAAAATATACTGCTATAAATGCATGAAAGTACAGTATATACTAATAGTAAATAATTAAATAAATAAATAAATTAATTAATTAAAAGATAATATTTATTTATTTATTTATTTATTTATTTGTTTGTTTGTTTGTTTAGGGCTGTTGCTATACTATGCAATCACCAGCGCTCTATACCGAAGCAGCATGCAGCTTCAATGGCACGGCTACAACATCAACTGAGCGCAATTGAAGAAGATTTAAGAGAATGCGAGGAGTTTTTAGCGTTTTGCAAGAAGGATAAACAGCAAAAACAATTTAAATTCAAGTCTGATTTTAAAGTGCGCTGAAAATGATATATTTTCATGTATCATACACCACAAACCCTTATAAACCCTAAACCCTAAACCCTAAACCCTTCCTGGAAACCCTAAACCATCGGTTTTGAACAAAGACATCAAACCCTATTAACAATCAGCAATATTTAATATATGCAAACCCTAAACCCTTCCTGGAAACCCTAAACCCTAAATAAAATGCTGCAAACGCTAAACCCTAAACCCTCAGTCTCAACCCCCAAACCCTCAATCTCAATCCCTAAACCCTAAACCCTCTACATCAAACCCTAAACTTTCAATCTCAAACCCTAAACCCTGTACATCAAACCCCAAAGCGTCTATATTAAGATCTAAACCCTAAACCCTCGATATAAAACCCTAAACCCTAAACCCTAAACCCTTTTGATTAATTTGGCTTCAGACTCTAAAAGGAGAGCCGCGAAAGTCAGTTGTGCGCGAAGGAATGAAGGAGGATGCTGTTCTTAAGAAGATTGCACAGCTTAAGTACGCCGCCAAACCCTAAACCCTAAACCCTAAACCCTAATTAGCCTCTGAGCATTTATATTATTTGTCTATGGATATTCGATGGTGTTAATTAGATATTATTTGTTTTGCTTTTTCTCGTTTAATGCATCTATATATATATATGTTTATATACACATATATATTTATATATATGTATATATATATATATGTATCAGTTGACTCCTATCTCTCTAAATATATATAAATATATATATATATGTATATTTATATATACCTTAATATATGTTTTCCTTTATGTATATATATATATATATATATCTACGTTTATATATACATTTGTATATATATATATATATTTATATTTGTTTAAATATATTATGATATATGTGTATTACAGAAAGAAAAAGCAAACGCATTTGCTGCGCATGCATATCAAAGACAGCAACAAAACTGTAGCCTTAGGGACTTCCAAAATTAATTATATGGACCCACGTATAACTGTTGCATTTTGTAAGAAGTACGAGCTACCTATTGAAAAGATATTTAATAAAGTAAGTCTTATTTGTCTAGTTTTATTCTGTAGTTTATTTCTCTACTTGTTTTTATATCTATCTGTATATATATATAATATATA